AAAAAAAAATTTTATTTATTTATGGCTGTGTTGGGTCTTCGTTTCTGTGCGAGGGCTTTCTCTAGTTGCGGCAAGTGGGGGCCACTCTTCATCGCGGTGCGCGGGCCTCTCACTGTCGCGGCCTCTCCCGTTGTGGAGCACAAGCTCCAGACGCGCAGGCTCAGTAATTGTGGCTCACGGGCCTAGTTGCTCCGCAGCATGTGGGATCTTCCCAGACCAGGGCTCGAACCCGTGTCCCCTGCATTGGCAGGCAGACTCTCAACCACTGCGCCACCAGGGAAGCCCTGAAAACATAATTTTAAATGGATATAAAATTAAATTCATTGCTTGATTTTAGATATTTGGTTTATCACAATTAGATTTTGGTTTATCATAATTGGGATGTTACTTATTGGAGAAGTAGGAAAAGTAGAGATCAGAAGGAGAAGTAGGGCCAGGACTGGGGTGAGGCAAAAGAGATGCCTGGGACACAAAGTGTACGTCGATACTCACTTTTAGGGTCATGCAACTGCAGGGTGGCACTTGCATGACCCTGAGAGTGAGTGTCTCTGTAAATTTTGCACCCTGGGCACCTCTCTTGTCTCACCCTAGTCCTAGTCATAATGAGAAGCACATTCAGGGAATAGGAACTATGTTTGGCTGTGAGTGTGAGTTAGAGATGGTAGCCCGTATAATTGAGCAAGTTGGTGGGAATGATTAAGGTGCACTAGATAGTAGTTATTATACATTTTCACTTGTCTATAGAAACCTTTGCTGAGCTCTGATGAGGATGATAATACCTTTGAAGTAATACAAGGAATATAAGTTTTATTCATGGGTTTATAGTAATTTGAATAAGGAAATGTTCCATTTAGAGATACTACCGAGAAAGCGGTTATTTATTTTCACTCAAACTATTTCAAGTGGAATATGATTTTTTTCATTGAAAAATAAAAATTGTAGAAAAGACTTGAGTTAGAGAGTGTTACATAAGTAATACCTATGTACTTTGACTAGCTTCCTTAAGCAAGACATTTGCCACTGCTCAATGTTGGATATGAAATCCCAGTAGAATAGTTGTCTTTCTTCTTCTTAAGTCTTTGAAAATAACTTTCTGTATCATAGTGAGAGACTAGAATATGGAATTCTAGACATCTCTCAAGTTCCTTTGCTGATAGAGAAGAGAAGCTGAAAAAATTTTAAATTAAACAGATTGTCCAGTAATTTTGAGGTCTGTGTTTGAAGTGGAATTAGATAACATATGTAATGTGTGTATACTTAGGTACACATTCACTACATTTTGTTTCTTGGAAATCTGTAAGTAATACTGTTTAATATTGGAGGTTTGATTTAAGATACTCTATTGAAAGCAGTATAGAAGTCATGATTAAAACTTCCATATTTAAATATCATTTTAAGGCTTTGACAACTTTTGTCAAAGCCTTACTTTACACCAAAGTGTACAAATCAGAGAAAGCCGTAATTCCCCTTGGAATTTCATCCATTCAGTAGCCACTTGTTTGGTGGCTATAACGTTCAGGTATTGTGTAGGATGCTGGCTATATTAAGATAATAATCCCTGTCCTTAATCACGTCACAGTTTAGTGGAAGAAGAGGACTGTAATAACACTTTCATTGTATGTTGATTAGATTTCCAACCCGATGTAGCATTGAGAACCTTGTCAAATCTAGAAGAGTAAAATGCTTGTTAGGGGGCAAAGAAGGAATGCTTTTGGAAATGCGTAAAAAGCTTAGAAGAGTAGGAGACGTGGAAGATATTCCTGATAATACTGTGTTTGGTTAGTTTCCTGACCAGAAAGAAAGGAATAATCTTATTTCTTGGTAACATCTATGAAATGTCCTCTGATTCATGCGAAAGTCAAGGAAGCAAGGGAAATGACAGGAAACAGAATAGGCAAACAGAAAAGAGGAGCTTGAAAGAAGAGAGGTGATTACAAACCAAGAAGTCAGGGTTAGAAATATGAGGGCATGAGACAAAAAATGAGAAACTGTGACAGGGCTGTAAACTGCACATTCAACATCAGTGGTAAAGATGAGAGCCAGTGACCAAGGAACATCTTAGAAATTCTCCTAGTTTCAAGGATTGAATGAGAGCAGCCAACATCAGAGCCATGCTTTGGCATACCGAATCATGTTAGACAAAGAAAGTGGGTGTTTGCCAGGAGAATCCTTCCCAAACCTTCCCAGCCTTTGACAAAGTTTTTCTTACATAGTTAATTATTTCTTTAGGCTGTAATATCTTAACATATTATATATAAAATATTTAAAATTTTGCTGCTTCTTCTGTGTTTCAAATTAGTTTTATGCTGTGAAAATGGAGTAAAACATGAATTACCTCTTCAAAACTGAGGAAATAGGTTAGGGAGAAGATAAAATGCATTACTTATTGGGAAAGTTGTGGAAAGAAAGGGGAGAGAGTAAGCAGGGGATGGACAAGCTAGGTAAGCATAGCATCCTGAGTTTTAATGTCATGAGCGTGATGAACTGCCAAAGTTGATTACCATACTCCATGTGTCCGTTTTTACCTTTTTCTCAGTAGTGAACAGTTCTGACTCCTTGAATTTCTTCTTGCAGCTCATGTTTTCTGCCTAGACATATGATCATTCCCGTGAGACTTCACTGCACGTTTTCTCAAGTGTCTTCCTCATCCCTAATGTGTAATCCTTCAACATGGACCTGCTACTTTAGCTAAGATATGACCAGCAACGAATAGTAGTAAGGTAGGATTACTTTACTCTTCTTAGTAAATTACTAAATTTATATATATATATATATATATATATACACACACATATATTAATACATATATATATATATATATATATATATACATATATATATATTTTTTTC